TTATATTGAAAGCAGTAAACAATAAACTGGAATATTAATTAATGAATATTTGAAACCACTTTAATTCTTTAGGGTAGACACTTGCATTGCTGAAACATGGATATACTGAATCGTACTTAACGGAAATGTAGACTTATGCTCATTGATGCCCACTTGGCTTTTTCTTCTAAACAGCTCTCACCATTACTGGTTAGGCTGGCTATAAGGGCAAGACGTCGTCAAGTTCGGTCGATCCGATCGCTAGTAGTAATAGAAGCCATTCCTTTTTCCATCGTCTAAGTCCATATATTGCTAGTCTCCCTCCTTATAAGTTCAAAATCTTTCCTGACTGTACCAGTCCAGGTCTTGACTGGCCCTCCTCGCTTTTGACGCCAACGAACACAGGGTTTAGCAAGTAACGAATATGTGGTGGACAACTGAGAACGTGCCTTAACTACCGAAGGCTCTGTGATAACATTATTAATACAGGTGGTGTTTGAACGAAGATGGATGCGATCACGTTATATTTTATCCGCTCGATGGGCCCGTAACATAAACCTTAGATAAGAGTGATCAAAGATAGATAGCTTCTTAATATCCTCCACTCTCATTGGCTATGTCTCAGAGCCATATAGCAAGATCAAACGAATTACGGCCATATAGATGCAGGCTTTCGTTTTAATGGTAATTTCACGACGGCTCCATAAAGATTTCTTCAACCAGAAAAACGCATTTTTAGCTGCCGTAATCAAGGTTGTATTATCATCTTTTGCCTGGCCATTTGGTATTAGAGTGGACCCAAGGTATTTAAAATCGGGAACTTCCTCAACGTATCAACCGGTAATGAATATATAAAAAGAGGCATATTATCAGCTTCTTGTACATAAGACGAAAAGACTTTCGTTTACATTAATCGTGAGTCCAATTCTTGCTGACACGTTGTTTAGCATTACTTGCATTTCGTTATAATTGCCAGCAAAAAGGACTATATAATCAGCGTGTTCAAAATCTGTGATGCGATGCTCTGGACTGATTTGGACACTCCTTGAATGCTGATAAGCGGTGTCCATTACCCAGTCTATCGCATAGTCACTGTAGGGGAACGCACGCATCCTTGACGGATACCAGTTCTTATTTCGAAAGAGTCTGTAAATCATTATAGTATATTCCGCAATGGGAACAGAATCATAGAAACAGAACCGAAGCAATATACAACTTATAATATACAATATATAACGAGAAGAGATAACGTTATGATTTGAAATTTTAAAATTATATCTAAATTACGTCTAATCAACGTTGGCGATAAACAGTGATAAGTGCTATGATGAATGCCACCAAGAAATGACCGCATCTGGCGAATAATTATTAATCGAGAAACGAAAGCCTGCATCTATATGGCCGTATTCGTTTGATCTTGCATGCATTACTGAATTCAGGAGACGGAAGCACTCGCAAGCCTATGTTCAATGACGTATGAGGAAGGATATTTCGCATCGACTTACATCAGCTGTTGTTGTGAAGGCAATTTGTGCAATGGACAATATGCAACTAGAATTCACAATATCAATATGTTTCTAAAAATTTTTGGCATAATTTTGATAAACTTCCATAATATAATATAAATTATCATTGCCATTATCATTATTAATATCATTTGATTCACAGCTTGTGATTCAACAGTCTTATCAGTCGATTACCAAAATGAATAAAAAACATTTTAAATGATTCATTAGATTTTTGGCTTTAGAATATATATATTCTGAAATATTTATTACTTTGGTATATTTAGTATTTTAAAATCCCTTCAAAATTCATTAATTTATTGTAAATATATCATTTACAACCATAAATATTTCTAAATATAAAAAATTTTTCTCAGCAGTAAAAATGTACACAAGAAAATAAAGAGATCGCAATTTCGATGAAATGCCATGGTGGCATTTCTCTCATATTATTTCAACAATTACGATAAAATGCATTTGAACGAATTCCTATCTTCTAATAGTACCAGCTATTTGGCTGACTCCCGCATTAACTAGGATGAGACTCTTTCACTTGACAATTGGAGACATAGGTAAGCCACTTAGTTTCATTCATAACAGGTTTTTAAGTGGAAACAATCAAACTCAATTGATGAAAGCTCCACGTTTTTAGTTAAAACAACATATTATCAAATTACCATCGCTCGCTCCCCAATCTTTCCCATTCACATACAATTATTTCACTTTACATACAATTAGGACGAGCATTATACGAAAAAATAATTAACTGACAAAACTAGTTGTAAATACAAATTATTTGATCCAAAGAATACCAGTGGATCAGCCAATTGAAATACATTACCTATATAGAACTATAACAAAAATATTGTTTGAAAAAGCGTTAGGAAGACCGGTTGCAATGGGAAACGCCAAAAAAAATGAAAAATGAGCAAAACCCGAAGCAGATATCTCTAAAGAACTTCTAATGAATGAAGAAAATTTTAATAACAGGTGGGAATTTGTTCAGTTATCAGATATTTTGATTACTGAAAAAATTTTCTACATAATAATATTATATCAATCTGCGATTCCAATAATAATACAAAAAATATAAAAAGAAATGCACTTTTCTAAAACAGAAGTATATTTAAAACGAGGTCAAAAATAAACAACCTGAAAAACAAAAATTTGAATTAATATTTATCAGCGATAATAAAAATATTCAATATATCAATTGGCACAAAATTATAAGCAATAATGAAAATTAAAATTATAAAATCATTTTTTTTTTTTTGCATGCATGCACTGAGCGATAATAGAGAGCCACAAAATATAGAAAGACCAAATGATCAGAAGAATGATCCATTTCAGAATTTTTTAATAGTAAAGCTAATAATGATAAAATAACTACAAAAGATTAACATCGAACCATTAATACGAGCCATATATGCTGTATATACCACATATGCCTTAGCCAGTTTCAGCGATTATTACTATGATGAATCCTCTATGGCCAGAAAATTACTAACAAATTTTAGGCACATGAAAAGATAGCGAATTAAAAACCAATTAAAATTTCAGAAACTATAAAAGCAATAAAAATTTAATGTAAATTTAATTAATTCAGAATGGTGATAATGATAAGATTTAAATAAGATTTAAGTCAAAAACCAGCCGCTGATGCCATTATCATTTAAGCTGTATTAATTATTGATGGATATCATTTTCCATTACTCACTAGGCTCCTTGATTATTAGAAAGAAACATTTTTGCTAGATAATCATTCAGGTAATCACATAAAGGGATAAGAAAAGAAGATGGATCTCCAACATTACCTTGCTAATGGCAACAATCATATATAATTTCTTTGACCACTAAATTATCAAAGCAAAAAAATTTCTGGGGAAGAAAAAGCGAAAACAACCCAGAAAATATCTATTCTAGGCCAATTTAAAAAAAAAAAAACATGCATCAAAAAAACAGCAACATGCAGCAAAAATGATGAATATTTTTGAAACGAATGGGACTCAATAACAAAATATTGGATTTTTCCAATGTAATGTTTCGCTATTGTTCAATTTTGGCAATTTGGTTTTAAAAAATATCGGAAGGAAGAAGACCTCTCGTTTCCAATTACGCGAAACTCCATATTTTTGCATTCTTCACCACTGAAGAATTTTAAACTTTTAAGAATTTTTAAACATTAACTTAAATACAATACTACGTTAAAATTCGAATAAATTTTTTTTTGCAATATACTACTTGCACTATTATTTAACACTATCATTGACACTACTTAAATGGAAACAGTCTCTAAGTGATAAATGATATTTCTAAGATAAGCATTACCTATCAAATAAAATAAAGGCACATAGAATCGTTAGGAAATTTTTGAAGAAGGGGATCAAAGAAAGGTGAAATAAGGGCATAATACGAGGTAAATTTAAAAATTAAACAAAATTTTGCCAGAATTAAACGAAATGTTATCAGACCGGAAAACCTATAAAATATATACAATAAAATATATACATTTTATAAGATAAATCAAATAGAAAATTAAAAAATATAAAATAAAACAGAATGAGGATCAATTTTTAAAATTTTCAGAACGAAAATCACAAAAATTACTCCAAGTATAAAAGCAGAAATAAGTTGGGCATTATGCGTCACATGAAAATATGAAAATGATTTTGTTGTACATTCTGATGGCAAAAAAATTATGATTATTGACAGAAAGAATCCTAAGACACAAACCACAAACGCAAGAAGAGCAATTCCACTGTTCTAAAAAAATGATTCAAATTAATTCAGTACCAAAAATATTAATCTGAAATCTTTTTATTTCAACAAAGGTCCTTTTAAATATTTAATTATAAAATTTTCCATTTTCGCTATTTTAGTCTTTTATTTCAAATTAATATTCTATGACTGGAAAATTATTAAACTATTTTGTCGTACAATCTGTTTTAGTACATAATTCGAAACTGAAGAGAAAAATGAAGATATTTATGGTGTTTATGGTGAAAATGATGCAATTGCATAATCATAGTAGAACACGATGAAAAATATTTTCTTAGAAATTCCTTCAATTATCTGGGAAGAAATCGCAATTTTTTTGCTAAAATTAGTTGGACCAGTCCAACAATAAAATCGACAAATTCGATGTATCTCTTGACATTTTTTAAAGCTCACTGTGGTTAGTGCTCATCTGCACTAAGGCCAGCTTGGCTGAAGACTATGCGGTTAAAAATTTTTGAAAAAGACGCAGGTCGATAGCATCTCCTAGATGGTTTTAAAATTTCACTCTTGCCAGGATAGAAGCCGAACTCTTATCTCTTAATACGATAAATTGAAATATCTATCGCGCCATTAGTTATATTCCTCTTTTCGGATCTCACTATCCTACGCTATTTTCACCCCCCCCCCCATTATTCTCTCTGAATATCCTTTTTTGATAGCACGCTGAGGGAAGACAATGAAGTCTGGCCGAACAAATGTGGGAAAAGGAACTTAAAGATGCCGAATTTCGGCATAAGGTTAGAGTTTAATGGGCATCTGTAAATAAGATTTTAAGAGTTTCGAGAATAATAACAGGTTTCGCAAAATTTAAGATGATATAAGCAAGGTTAGACCTAAGAAAAGAGAGATAATAATTAAAAGAGAATGATAGGAGGATGAACCGATAAGGGGCGATTTAAAGCGAAATGGCGGAGAAGGTTTAGAAAATAAAGCAAGCTTTATAGATGATTTTCTCCAAGTTACACATATATCACACATAAAATAAAACGAATCATTATTTTTAAATGGATATATGGATTAATATTACCTGAAAATTAGATTGTCCAATGAGTGATGGATTAAAAATTTCCGAATTTTGAGTAGTGCCAGAACATTCATGAAAATCTTGTTGCTTTAGCTCTTTACGACGTCTGCATTCCGCAGAAGATTTTATATCCAAAAATCGCATTTTTATATCAGTGTGCCCATGCATCTGCAAGTTTGTGGACAATAAAATCAATATTTTCTCCAAATCTCGACTTTGAAAGATTTTGAAAGAATAAAGGCGATTCTAACGAAATAAACTTGTATTTATAATCTTAAACATTAACACTGTTATTTTCTGATTTGCACACTAAAATTCGTAGCCTTTCAACCGAATTTGCTTTAGGTTTTCTTGCTGGCTCATATTTAATAATGCTGAAAAACATTGATAATTAATAAACTTGCTAGTAAATGAAGTGATAAAAAAGCTTTAAGTTCTAATTCGAATAGAATTTTTATTTTAAAAGGATACGAAATACTGAAACAAAAATCTGGAAAAACTTACATATATCGGTTAGATCGACCATTAATAACACCTTCAGGCTCCATAACAGCAATCGCATCTGGAGCTGTTGAAAGCACTGAAAACTTTATGCTTTAAAAACCTAACAAAAAATTAAAAATTATGAGATTGGAAATAAATAAAGCTTTGACTGAAATACCCAGAGGCACTTAGGCACTCATATATCTAATTCATTCGTTACTCTAAATAATTTACTTCAGCCTTTTTTCTTCTAACATTTCTGATTTTTTTCACTCAATACTAAAAAGAGATTCTCGACCGCAGAGTCACTTGGGATACATATGCATCTGCAATTGTCCTAAACTCCAATTTGCTTCGATCATACACCTAAATTCTTATTTTAACATTTATTTAATACGTAATATTTTCAAATTATTTAATATTATTTCCTTATTTACAGAATTAATAATCAATATGCCTTACAAATAAAATCTCATAACAAAAATACAAAGCAAAAATAAAGAAAAAACTGATAGCAAAAAAATGGTACCTTTGTACTTAATCTGAAAATCATAAGGATTTATCATTGTAAAAATCTGTTTGTGTGTGTCAGGCGCATCCACGACAAAATCCAGAATTTGTGGTGAAATGAAAACAAGCAAATCACCTGATGGAGCTAAATGTTGTTCGAAAGCCATTCCTAAAATATGCGAGAAATAAACCGAGCCTTCATTACCTGAATTCTCTGATAATCACAACTGCATTCCACTAGTCGGACATCAAGTCTCCTCACTTCCCGAAAAATTTAGGTTTGATGAAGAACCAACATTTCACCTTGGAAGATTTTCTTTTGCCAATGAAGAGATACTTATTCCTTTGTCATCTGGTTCATATTCAAGAATAAATTTTTGATGTGACTGATAGCAAGATATAAGATTCAAATGTATTCAAATATATTAGTAAGGAACGTATCTGCAACTTCTTTTTAGAGATAAGAGTACGATTGGATCTCCATCCCCTCTCCCATCCTCCTCCATTCTATTTTTATCTTGCGTCTTGCCTAATTTAGACCTCACCAAGGTTTCGGCATTGCTCCTCATATTTTACGATTAATGCAAATTTGAAATTGATCAGGTCATACGAGACCAAGTTAGGAATTTTATATACATCGACCGATAAGACTCCAAAAAAAAATTTTTTTAAATTAATATTGCTTAAGAAAAAATACGATTAGAAATTTAAATATTGAAGTAAAAAACTTGAAAAAAGAATAAAATTATTTTTTATTCAAAAATATTTATTTGATCGAAAAGATTTTCCAAAAAAATCTCTTATTCTCACGACAAACCAAATTTGACATAACATTTAATGGCCTCCATTATTGTCGACAATAATTATTATATAACATAATAATAACAGTAATAATAATAATAATAATGAAAGAAAACCATAACAAATAATAAGTGCTACTATTATGTGTGCTCGAGTTATTCTATTTATCCTTTTTGGTCAGGTCGATTTAAGTGCTGGCTAGGCAGAAAAAAAACTGGACTAATTCTATTCCTATCTCACCTTAGTCAGCATAATGCAGCAAAGTAGCATAAGTATGAGCTAGAAGTTTCCACTCCATTTCGGCAACATAATTATAGTGGCACCATAAAATGAATATATCGAGAAATTATCTTACAAATATGAGAATCAATTATTAAATTAATCGATAAAAAAAAAATTAGAGAAAAAAGCTGAGTTGAAAACAAAGGCCTGAGATGTGCGTATATAAATTAATACTGATAAATTTCGTTTCTATCCAGTGAATAGAAAAACAGAAAAAATTCAAGAGAAAAATTTTCACTTTCCAAAATTAACTATTAATATTAATTTTATGCCTTATTTCAACTCAAAAAAAAATTAGACCATAGTGATTACAAAAAATCATCTATAATTCCAATTTTCAACCCGATTTTGCCATTTTATAACGAACCGGTTTTAAAGAGATGAAGGCTAAAGCATCTTTTTATCATAAGTTTAATGATCTAAGATTTAGTGAATTTTTCCGAAACAGCAAAACGGATATGACCGATCAACATCCAAATAAACTCAAATTCACGTAACATATTTTTTAAATGGACCATCCATTATCACACTGATATAGCAGCAACACATCATCTTATTCAGTTCCTCTAAAGAGTTCTTCACGAATCATAAGCAATAACAAAAGGAGCACATCGTTTACCGACAGAACTTATTATATCACAAGAGATAAACTAATAATTGGAACTAAGATATATAAGTAACTCTATAAAATTCAAAAAAAGTATTATGAAAAGAAAATTTATCACTGATAAAAAATCTTTCATTCAAAGGATTCAAAAGAACTTATCATTTACCTATCATTTATCACTCCAATATTAATTTGAGTTCTACTGAAAAAATTAAAAATATATGAAACAGCTTTTAGACAGCTTTTTACTGTACCAAAAAAAGAATTCATTCAAAATATATCTAATTTATTGAAAAAAATTAGAAATTAGAACCATTTAAAATGAATCGCATCTGAATGGTAGTTTGAAATAAGAATTAAAATGGCAGTCCGTAGATATCACTTAAATCAGTGCCAATTGTGTCAATTATTAGAAAAACTTATTTAACAATAAGAATACAAAGACTCCTTTCAATCTTCCCTCCTATTTCCCATCTAATAATGAAAACATTACTTCTCAAATTATTAAAATTATGTAAATAAGAAAGACAATAATTAATAACATAATAAAAATTGATGTTATGGACATAAATTATTATTCAAGAAATAATCGACACCTACTTTCCTTAGAAAAAAAATAATTAGTAACTTTAAAAAAATGAATGGGCTCATTCAGTTGTCGCCCAAACCAATCCCATAAAGCAATTTCGTCCAATTAAAAATTTTGCTGATTTGATAGCTAAAAAAATAATAGAAAAACAAAAAAAATAAACATAAAAATATGAAAACAGAAAGACCACTCCAATTTCTATATAACAATGAAATTTAGATATCTCATATTAAATGTTTTCAAAACCAAAATTACCATAGGAAGTACGATAAAATTTACATTTGCTTTTTCAAATGGCGAAAACCACTCGGAAATGAGAAAAAACATACATCATTATAAATCTAATATCCGAAAAATTTGCAGTCAAAAACTGTTGGTGTCGAAGTCTCTTGAAAGAAGGAATTTGAAGGAAGAATTGTGAAAACTAGTAGCTAGTTCAATTAATCTAAAAATGAAAATAATTAATTATAAATTAAATATAAACTAATTATATTGTAATTATAAACTAATGACGATCAAAAAATGCAATAGAACAAAGTGGTTTCTACGTTGCTTTAAAATATAGGTTCAAACTAATATTTGAAAATAACAATCTTATCCTTAATTTTTAAAAAAAAAACTAAATGTGAATTGAAGTTTTGTATAAATGGAAATTGAAATACAACGCCCATAGATAAAAAATTTAATTATCGCTAAACTGCGAGCGTTATCTTTTCTGCAAATGAAATAAGAACTAACTTTCGATGTGCTTATTTCCATATCGCGTGAAACTTCATACTGCCGCAAGGAATTACCACAATTATGATTGAATTACTTATACAATAAAATAATAACAGAAAAAACACCGGGATTATTATCCATGGAATTTAAAGGAAATTTGATCACCGAAATTAACGAACAAAAACAATAGACATATGGCATGATAAATATTAATTTTTCGACTAAATTAGATCAAAATAAGAAATTAGTGTATTGAACATTTAGAGATCAATCACACTTATAATCAGAATCGAAAAGGATTGTGTGCTATCACTGTTGCTATTCAGGAAAAAAAAATGCAGGAAATATATACGATGGTAATGAGTAATTTTTTGGATCGATTGGATCATAGAAGCGACAATCGAGGTAACGACTGTTGTGACAGTATAAAATAAGATCAACAATTATTAATAAATACTACATCAAATATCATTTTAAAAAATCAAAATAGGAAAGAAAAAATAAATCCAATTTTTAAAAAAAAGAATCAAAAATAAACATTTAAACGAAACGAAATTCTTTTCAAAATTCTTCTCGCTGAATAAATGATGAATGAATTCAGCAAGCAAAACCTTGAAAAGATTTTAGAAGATGTATTGCCGCGTATAAGAAATTCAATAAGTAGGCAAATGAACGGTCAAGAAGATAAATTAATGAAAAAATAAAAAAAACCAAAAAAAACCAAAAAAATGGAGGCATCATCATAATCTTAAGGTACGAGTGCCATTGATTATTTTCATTCGATTGTTTTAATTTCCCCACCAATCCTAAAATTTTGAAAAATAATTAAAAATATTTAATTAAAAAATAATTAAAATAATTAACAGATAATTAAAAATTAACAGAAAACAAATAAAAAGCAAGAAAAATTTGTCATGAAAAAATAAAACTAAAACTAAATAAAATATTACTTGCTGAGGTGGTGCTCGGACCGTTCGCTGCTGCTGATTCCACTGATTATTTGATTGGCCGTATGACCCAGCACATTGCCGATATTGTCCTCCAGAAGTATTTGAATTTCCAGAATATTGCACTCGATGATCACGACCGCCAAAACGACTGTAAGTAATATTTCAACAAATTTTACATCAAAAAAATTTCTGAAAAACAAACCATAAATAAATAACAAAGATACCTTCCAGCTTTAGGTCGCCCGGGTCTAGTTCCACATCTCTGGGCATCCATTGAAAGTTTTTCAAGCCACTCAGGAAGTTCTTGATTGGCTTCAACGATCAGTTCAGCAAGATCTCGCGAAATATTTCGATTTTTATCGTTAAAAAATGAAGTTGCAAGGCCTTAAATCAGCGATAGACGAACTTTAAACAAAAAATAAATATTTAAATAACAAATTTATAGAGAAAACCACTTGATATTGCAACTACTATTTAATTTAAAATTTTGTTTAAAAAAATTTTTAAACATTTTTTCATAAATTTTTGAAATTTTTAAAAAATTGTTTAAAAATTTTGTTTAAAATTTAACTTAAAAAATCTGTACTTACAGCCAATTACCATTATAATACTAACCAACATTTCCAACACGACCTGTGCGCCCGATTCTATGCACATATTCATCGATATCGGAAGGAAGATCGTAATTGATAACATGTTTAACATTTGGTATATCCAGCCCTCGCGCTGCCACCTAAAACTATATTCATTAACCAATCCAAGCGAAAAATACAACTGGAAGTTATAAAAGTATGTACATTTAGATTATAAATCCAAACACCAGCTAAGAATATTTTTAGAACAAATTCACAAAAAATACCGCTGTTGCAACGAGTATTGGAGCGATTCCAGAGCGAAAAGTCTCTAGATGTTTTTCACGCTCAAACTGTTTCAAATCACCGTGAATAGCGACGACATTATAACCGTCATTATGAAGATAATAGGCTAAATCACTAGCACCTCTTTTTGTTTCCACAAAGACTAGTGTTAAAGCATTCTTATCTGCAATATGCGAAAAAGTTTACAATTTCTCAGTCCTCAATCATGAATTTCATTTTAACATAAGCCATAAGTTTTCTGTTTCACCTCCGGCATCAAGAAGATCCATAAGGAAACTTTTCTTCTCGTTGTCCTCAACCCAAACTATTTTTTGCATAATGTTTTCAGAAGTCGAACCAACACGACCAACTGCTAAGAAAACATAATTGGGCATAAGGAAATCTTGCGCCAACATCTGGATTTCTTTGGGAAATGTTGCAGAAAACATCGCTGTTACACGCGTCCCTTTTTTAGGCATCCGCGATAGATCCACTATCTTTAAAAAAATCACATTAATTAATCTTGAAAACCCCTGTATTGCCTCCTATCGCTCCAATCAAAATAACTACATTAATTTGCGCATTAATGGTGTTCTCTAAATCACAAAATGGTAGACGTGGATATAAAATCAGAAGGTCTGCATTATTTCATTTCTTCTCAAACACTATTATACTTTTCTGAAACTCCTTCAGACCCCCTCAATTACTTGTTCTTCAATTTGCAATTGATTGCATCGAAATATTTATCATTGAACTGCAAGATTGCATTGCGCTTTTGTTGACCTCTACCTATCGCAAAATTGGTTTACTTTTAAATTTCTTTAGATTATATAACAGTAATTATATTTGTTCTCTATATGTTCCTTTTCTTTTCACTTTTGTTTTCGAGAAGACATCGTTGTTATAATCATAAATATAATTTTAAAAAAAAAACAAAAATTTTCCAATTTTACTTGTCTTATCTGTGGCTCAAAACCCATATCAAGCATTCGGTCTGCTTCGTCAAGAACGAGAAAACGACAACCATCAAGCCCAATGTAACCCTGTTCCATGACATCAATCAGACGTCCAGGAGTAGCAATTAAAATATGTACACCAAGCTGAAAGAACTTAATGAATTAAAAAATATTTTCATATTTTTATATGTGTTGTATCTGACGTGAAAGCAAGAACAAATTTCCACGCCTTGTCCAACACATGAATGATTTTTGCCTCATTTTATATCCAATCGCTTTTTAAAACGCTTTTAGAATTTATCTCAATGAGGCACTGAAATATTATTAAGACTATTATTAATACTATTATTTCTATCTGTAGGATTTCTTTAGATTTTCGATTTTTCTCAAAGTTTTTTAGACAATAATTCTGATTAATATTGTAAATTAATCAATAAAAATTTAATTGAAATTGAAATTGTCAATACATTTTCTAATATTTCCAGAAAAATCTTGTAGATAGATTATTCAAAAGTTTAAAAGCTCCTGATTAATATGATGAAAATTACCATCTAAAAATTATTGTAGGAAATGAATAATAAAAATAATTTATTTATTAAAAATTTATTTATTTAAGGATTTTTACCATTTTCACCATAAATAATGCTTTAGAATCTTTAAAAAATCTAAAGAACTGTGAAAGAACAAATATAGTGGTTAACATAGCCCGACTTTCTCCAACTTTATAATCAACTTTTCCTAAGGCTACAATAATAAAGTCCAGTTATCATTTTAAAATAAATTCTTAATAAATTCTTACACGAAGTTTGTTAATTTGTTCACGATAATTTTCGCGCCCACCATATAAAAGAGCAGAAGTGATAGGAGTACGATAAGCGAATTTTCTGGACTCATTATAAATTTGTAACGATAATTCTCGAGTAGGAGAAAGGATCAACGCAGATGGATACTGCTTTCGACGACCATTTTGTTGTGTCGTAGACTACAAATATGATTAAACCGAAATTTTGACGTTAAATTTGTCCTACAAAATTCAAGAATTTTTAAAAAAAGAAACTGAAAAAAACATAAAGCATTTTGTTTTCACGTGTTTTCATATTAAAATTATTAATGGAGCTATTTTAATTAAATTTGGTTGCATAAAAAAGAATGATGCTACAGTGAAGGAAAATAGTTGAAAGAAAGCATGGAAAGCATGGATACGACTTCGGACAAGAGTAAACTCAGGTGTAACAAAGAAACCTTTAAATTGAAAGATAACTGAAAATTCACTTAGATTTCAGTCGCCAAGTAATCTTGTGGCCTAAATATTCAGCGAATGAATCCAATTAGCCGGAAATAGTGCTTTTGAAGGAAAGAGAAAATCACGAAAGATATTAGATGACCTATTCAAAAAATTGCCCAAAACCTATCGGATTTCTATTCTTATTGAAAGAACTAAGATTTGATCGATTTATTAAAGCTTGATTAAATGGATGGATAAATTACGCGATAGAGAGCCTCAGGTCCATTTTGCAGAATATTATTAAGAAGAGGAACCAAAAATGCAGCTGTTTTACCAGAACCAGTCTGTGCACACGACATTAAATCGCGATTATTCATTAAAGTTGGAATTGAATATTTCTGCACAGGAGTTGGTCGGCAATATCCTGACAAACGAATATTTTCCTCTATCCACGGATGAAGCTTTAGATCAGCGAACTAAAAATTTCCAAGCATAATGTAATTCTAATTTAAATTCAAGAAAATGCACAAATTTCTTAACTATGAATAAGTACTAATCTAATTATAATCTGCAAACATAATATTTAAAAAATTACCAGAGAAATGGGATGTGGACAATCTTGACCAGTTGCTTCAACTGGGATTTCTTCGTATTTATCGAAATTGATTCCAGAATTCATTCCCGCAAACAATTCTGATTCTAAGCGTTCATCACGCGGAAGCTGCTCGGTCCATTTTTGTTGTCGCTCAGGAATTGGATCACGAAGTGCAGCCCAACGCGAATTGCTGCAGGTATGAAGACGAATAATTGATAAAATTATTATATATATAAACACCATGGTAAAACTTACTCTTGAACAGTTTCTATATGCTCATGATTAAGGAAAGCAGATCTTTGATGCTGCGAACCCCATTGTTGCTCATCATGTAAAGTTCTGAAAAAAATTGCTGATTTAAAAAATAATTCAAATGAAGAATTTTAAACGGAAAGAATTTTGCATAATTAAGACACCTCCTATCATAGGAATAACGACCAGAATAATTTGGTCGAGGTCCACCAATACCTCGACTGACACCAAAATCACCACCTGCATCGCGGTTTGCACCTCTACCGCGGTTATAAGTACCAGTACCAGCTCTAAAGCCAACTGCAGGTCCAAAACCAGCACGTCCACGTCCTGGTCTTCCACCCATCGATGGTTGATAATCATATCCTCCACCCGACCACGTTTGATTATTGTAATCAGACTGCTGCTAAAAAAAATTTCGCCTTATTACAATAATAATTAATAATTATATTAATTATATTTAAAATAAAATTTAGCCATACTTCGTTTGCACTAAATCAGAATAACTTTATATGTAAGTGACATAAGCGCTCTGTCTCTATACTAATTTCACAATTATTACTGTTCTATAAAATTAGAAAACTCATTTTATAGCAATTCTTGACCAACAATTTTACGAACAAGTATGCAGGAATTGTTCCTGTAATTGCAATGTTAAGGGAATTTTTTGATACTAAATACTACTTTGACAATCATAATTTACGAATATATAAATTTTTAATTCATTACTTAAATACTCTTACCTCAATCTCTTACAAACTGGAAATTTATATATTCATAAATTAAATAAACACTGTCAGAAATACCTTTAAAACTTTTAACAAATTGGATGCGCCATCCTTTTTATTATATCAGAATAACAGGATGAAATATTTAAAAACATTTGACCGTCCACATTTAGAATACAATTTGCTTTTCTCCGAAATATGGCGAATCAATTAAATTAACTGACATTTTACAAGAATATTTTATTTCAATGTGTAAATGCTAAACCAAAGTAACTAAATATGAATTATCCAGGCATGAATGAAGATTAGAATTAATCAAAATCTAATTTTACGAATAAAATTTTGCTCAATTTTGTTATAGTGGTCTAAATATTACGAATAATTGCTCAAATTACGATGTAAACAAAGGTTTATAATGGTTTAGAGCTGCGTAAGCCTATTTGTGAATCAGAGGTGTTAGCTCATAACTATGTCATTAATTATAGCCAATTTTAAAACAGAACTATGATTTTACATTGGACTTCAATTCATAACACTCTTGTTATAAGTAATTTTGCAGTTTTAACCTCAAAAAGAAACGGCTGCTTGGTTAAATAAATACAAGAAAATAAATCCTAAAGAACACAATCAAATAAATAGTTGTTAAAGGGAGAGGGGGAAGAGGATAAAACTGGTTCAGTGGGTTTTTGCCTTCATTTCAAAGTGCCAAAGCTGAGGTTTTATTCTCGATAAGTAAACTCTTGCAAAAAACGACCCGATGGAGTTAGCGACCCACTTGTACTTATATCACCAAGTGACTTCCCGGCAAAACTAATCCGATAAGTCAGCGCAACGAAAACCAGAAATGAGCGCATTTCAATGAAAAAAAATTACCGGTTGGATGCCAGCAAAACTCTGACTTTTTCGTATTGCACCACGATGATCATAGAGATTCGAATTCGGTGCATTACGATTCACCTGGTGCTGCTGCTGTTGTTGTTGTGTTCTTGTCCAAGTATCTTGCGTTGCAACTCCTTCCAGTATTGTTTCAGGTGCATTCGTATGGCGCATATGAGGAGGTATATAACGTGATTCTACAAATATATTCTCATCATTATTTGATAATCATCTGCTTTTAATATATTAAGTTTAATCTAATTTGGTAACGCTTATACTTAAAATAATTAATAGCCTTAGAGCTTAAACCTATGGACTTCTACAATAAATAGTGATTAAAATTGAGTAAATTGATAACCTTGTGGTATTTCACCGGTTCTAACGCTATTGACTACTGAGGGAAGATGGACCTTCTGTATATCCTCCTCATTCCAATTTCCTACTTCTGGAACCTTTTTCATATAATTGCAGCCGCTATCGAAATTCTGACCGCCATAAATTGAATTACCACTACTCATTACTCGCCTATAAAAAATATTCATTCACTCGCCTATGCATTATTTTTTCGAAATTATTAAAACGAATGTTGATGGAATGTAACGGGTCTTTGAGAGGAAGAGTGGCGGGGTTCCGGGCCGTAATGGAACTACTGACGAGATTCCAATGTAGGTGAAATTCCTGAACGGAACAACACTGTTAGTTTCCTTTCTTTAATAACACACTGAAAGAAATATATCATAAAATAATTCACAAAAACGAATCGATAAACACTAACAATTAGGTCAGATTTATCAGAAATAGCCGCATCTGCGATACTAATAGTCGGCTCAGGCTAATCAATATTTAACATTAATATTTACTTTGGCAAGATTCCAGTGAACAATGCAAGTTTCGTAGGTTTTTTTAAAATTCCTTGATGTAGTTTAGAAAATCGAGAAAGGTTGAAGGTTAGTTCTTGCAATATTTCATGCCAATAAGTTGCTCGTTATAAGTTGCGGAATTTACAATTTGACCTTTTGACCTTTGCGAGATGAAAATGAAAACAAAAATGAGCAAAGATTTTTTTTAAAGAATGAGATAAATGAAAAACGTTTCTATATTATATTGGAATGTTTTCTAAAAGAATCCGCAACTTTTTACTTGGAAAATATCTCATAAAGGATGAATAAATTAGAAAGAATTGAAAAAAGAAAAAACAATGGAAAAAGCGAGACTTGGAGAAGTGGTGAGGCAGAAGAGTTTTTGAGGGTGCAGTGGGAGTCGGCAACTCCAAACAGTCTAGGAGTGGAGTGAACGAATAGTACTAGTTAGACGTGCATTGGCAGCAGAGTGTCCTATTTGATAGCGATTGTTACGCCTATTTGAGGCAGACACTCTTATCGGAGTGGGATTCGAGGCGTTGCAGTGGAAGAATCTAATGCGTATTTGGCGAAAGTGTTATGGAATCTAAGATGGAAAGGACATATGCAGAGTTATGGGGTTTGGTTTTTAGGAAGCTTTGATGGGCATCTTCTTCCAATAAAATGCACTATTATCAGTTAGGCTGGTTCCAAAGGCTTCAGAAATGAGGTAATTCCAAGCCTCTGCATCCGAAGCCATCACTGAAGAGGTGAAAGCCAAAGAAGCCACTATTTTTTCCATCTGTACAGTTCAGTCGCCTATGCCTTCATATCTCTTTGATTGTGTCCAGGCCTTAACTGCTCTTTCTCGCTTTTGCAGCTGTTCACCACAAAGCTTGGCATTTTATGAGGAGTGGTAAAGAACATAGCCGAAGCAGCACGGTTTTATGGCGATGCGTTCCGCAAAGTTCGAGCAAAGTCAAATATAGTTATATGAGACTCTTTCCGCTCGGGAAGTATATCTTACGCTTAAATGATCAGAGGTAGGCATATTCTATTGGTATGTTCCACTCATTTTGGTATTATCGCAGGGTTGTGCGTACTGCAGTCAGGCATATGCGAACCTTTTAATGTTGAATAATGATTTTAATTTCATGATGTGTTATTTCATGTGATCGGAACAAAGCATCTCCATCCTCTGATACTGTTGGAGTATCCTTTGTTGCTTAGGTATTCTTCGTTGGAATGAATTCGGTTTATCGCATAATTAAATATTTTAAAATTGATCGACACTTCCACTAATGATGCATTTACGAATATAGCAATTTTACCAACACTGAGTGTGTATATGAGACAGAATGAGAATTATCTCATTGGCATCGGTCAATTTTCGCTGTACTCATCGATGAAAAAAGGTAATATACTCGAGATTGCTAAATGCACATAGTGATGGGATGCAATGTTCGTAACCAAATTTATTACACAGATAAATGTTGTAGGCGAAAGGGAAGATGGTAGCCTTAACGTGCACCAGTTCTTACTTCAAAAGGATGTGCCACTTTATCGCATAAATTTATACGATTTTCCTAAGTAAATACTTTGGTTGAACCAACGTCGGAATACTGTCACTTTGCATTTTCATCTGGAATGCTACCTATCTGTTCGAAAAAGGTAGCAAAAAAATTAAAATTAATGAAACAGGTGCGTTGCCGGTATTTAAAACGATCTTTTTTAGCGTGAATCTGTGGTTTAAATATCTAGTTTGGCATAGGTGGTATATCGCATACTGTTTTAGGTCTATTAGAGAAGAGGGAAAAAATCTTTTCGCAAATATCCAGTGGAGTAATTTCTTGATTTTTTGTTGTAATTTATATTTTTATCATTTTTTTCATTTTTATCATTTATCATTTTTGAGAAATGAGACTTGCTTTGCTCCAGTTAGATGGTCTGATGTTTTTCCTGTACCAATGAATGAATTATTCTCTGAAGGTTTCGAGAGATGCTGGGCAATATTTATAGAATCCAGGAAAAATCATCCTCGTCATTTGTTCTTAAACGTCTGAGGTTGTTTCTTGCAGTGTTGGTTTTCAACCATATATTTGGTTGGGAAAGATGATTTCGGGGAAAATCACAAGTTCGGTCAGGAAATACAATAGGATTTGAAAAAGAGTTTTTGAAAGGATTTATAAGGAGGCATATTTGGAGAAGTATAGTGGAATTTGACCAAAGTGGTGGAGTGGTATGACATTGAAAAATGTGATTTCGATTTCCTGACTTTTGGACTGTTGTATTATATACTTTTTGCATCGATGATGGTTTTGCTTTATTTAGATTTAAAATGGAAACGTACCTCTCTACCTTTCAGCAATTCGCTGACGAAGAATGATTATCCTATGTTAATGGAGTCAGTCAGCATACTTTATATAATATGTACATCAAGAATGGTTGGAGGCATTCCCGATATATTCCACTCTTGCTGGCCATGGCTCGCGGATGTATAGTAGAATTGTTTGGTAGATAGTAAGGTAAAGAGTTAAAGGTCAGTATAATGGATTTTTAGGGAATATTAGTGGATTATAATAAAAGAGCACCAAGATTTTGAAACAGATTTATGAAACAGAACTATGAGGTAACAAATAACCGGATCTTAGGAATTTAAGGAGATTTAAAAAGGTATTATTGGTGATTTGTGAAGTGTAATATGGAGTGCTCAAATGAAATAACAGGGTTTCGAAAACTGATGAAAGAATTTTTAGGGAAAATAACGTGGCATTAGGAATCTATTTTGTAGGTTTTAAATATTGGCAGATTTATTGCTAATGAGTACCACATGAGCACTACATGGCTCCATGCCATGTTGAGGTTTAATCAGGTGATAAATGAAAATAAAAGGCATTAAGGTATTCAATGGGAATTTGAGAGGTTTATCGCAGAACCAGAGCTGGACATGGTTTGAACACAAATACCATAGGCTCTGATAGTGGGCTGAGGTTTTCCAACTGCGGCCGTGTTTTTAAGTGGCATAGCAGTATACTAACATAATGGGCAGTATATTAACTTTATCTTTAGTTATAGGTTAGCAAAAAAGTCTCTCCAGTGGTCATATGGGTTTTTTATTTTGAGGAGTTAAATATATAATAAAAATAAATATATAAAAACATTTACAAACATATAAATTTATCCCAAAGCTTTGGAATCCTTTCTTTTATCATCCCTACAAGGTTAGTTTTTCGGTTTGGGGGAAATTGAAGGATTTTCACTCGTTAGATTGGTACGAGTTTCCCTCTTGAAGACTATGTTTATTCTGGATTCTCTAACAATCAATGTATTTTATAGATTTTTGTTGTATTTGTATTTATTTCTTATTCAGTTTTTTTGTTAATTTTTATTAAAAGATTAGATTCAAAGTAGTTTTAGTTTTGTTTAATTTCGTGAGCATCAGCCCTAACGTCCTACCATCGGCCTAAGCCCATTGATTAATATATTGTTTGAAATTTATTGGTTTTTATCTTTACCTTTCGGGTATATTGTAACTGCGGAGTTAATCTCTGATAATTGTCAATTCTCATCTATATTACGATTTCTTTTCAACCTTTAACAGCTTTTGTTCGAATTTTTATGTCGTATCGCCTGAGTTAAGATAAAATTTATTTTTTTCATTTCAGGTCTCAGAAAAAAGAATCGCTTCTGTTTTATCAATTAATCAAGTGATAAACTAGTAATAATCAATTTTCGGCCTTGTTTCTTGGCCTTTTGATATATATTATATAACCAGTCATTATTATATCATAGCTCAGTCGAACGACATCTAATATTTGATCGTTTCTTTTCTTTTTTCGAAGAAAAAGAACCAAAGAAAATTGTGGGGCTTAACCAGGTTTCTGCATTCGTTTTTTACAAAAAAAATCATTCAAAATCATTCAAAAATCATTTAAATTATTTTTTAAACTAATTTCACTTTTTTTTTCTTGAAAAGATCTTTTATTCTGCTTGAACAGTAGGATATTTGACAGGATAATAATGGTTATTGAGTCGTGCGTTTCTTCATTTTTGAACAAATAACATTATTTAATTACGTTAATTTGGCATAAAAAGTCAGATAAGAATGATAATTCTTTAATTTTTTACTATCGCCAAGTGATTTTTCTGGCGTGTTCATTGTGCAAACGATAAATAGTGATACATGATTTTAGAAAATTTTTGTTTAAAACACTAAGCATATAAATTAAAAGCATATTTCGTGCGCATGAAAAAATGCATGTAATACGCAAATGCACTCAATGTTATGGAGTAAAATGGCCATGTTTACATATGATAGGATATTGGAATATTGGAATAGGAAAAGGTTTGCTGGAAGATGTCTTTAGAAGAAGAAAGAGGAATAATGAAATGTATGTACATGAGGGAATAATATATTGATGGACAAATGAACGAAGTAAGCACGAAACAATCCTCTTTCATCATCAATCGTTAAAAGTGTTTCGTCGACACGATGTGCAAAAATTTCCATTTTTCTATAGATCGTCGTCGGTTGTCGGTTTTTCTAATCCTTTACGTTCTTCGTAAATCGATTGCATTTATTCGTCTGCCAATTAGCATTTTAAATTAATATATTTTTACTAAATTTTTTTTGATTATTTTATTTTTTGAGATCAATGAGCGTTTTATTTCTTACTTTTTCTTTTTTGAACAATTTTTAATATTTAAATATAAATTTATTAAAGAAAAGAAAAGTCTTATAATGCAAAAATTCGATCGATTTTTCATTTTTATATAAATTATTTTAATGAAGAAAAATGAAAAATCTTCATATCGAAAAATCTTTATATAGATTAAAAGAAAATTTTCACAGTTGTTATTTAGATATATTTTTCTAGCTCTGATTTTTCTATTAATTGTAATGATGGATCCTGTGGATCTATTTATACCTTTTCTCTCGGATTATTCACTAATTAAGTGATTCGAATCGCAACATCCTAGTGATCATAATGTTGAATAGTAATGTTACGTATAAGATGATAAAAGTTTTGTAAATTTGAAGGACGATGGTCGTATTTCCATGGCCGTAGTTTTTATCTGTGGAATATTCTACAATTTATATAATATATGAATGACGTAGAAAATATTTTTATCGATATCTTCTTGAAAAGAAAGGAAGAAAAAATAGGAACATATCAGTGATAATAAATATTTATCAGTTAATTTAAGATTTTAAGATTTTTTATTTTCAGCTCTAGTCCATGTCATCTTCGGGGCCAGATCAACAGCTACAAGCCGAACAAAATACGATTTTACATTTACACAGGAAGCGACTTTTTCCTTCTGGTGCCTTTTTTGTCTTAAAAAAATATATCATTTCTTCAGAATTTCTTAGTTTAATTTTATGCTTAATTTTTCTTATTTATATTTATACATATTTTGTAATTTAGCACTTATTAGGTGTTGCAGTTTTATCCATTATTTTCTTCTGCGGTTCAATTTTTTAAGTTATAAATTTGATGAAATAATTTATTTTTTTCGCTATTCTTCATATTTTCATTTACAATCTTCTTTATTGTGAATTCAGTTTCTTTTTGGAATATTCTATATGATTATACAAAATTAAAGCAAGCGTGCGTTATTAACAGATGGGTGCAACAATGGGCTTAGGAAATTTCAGATAATTCCAGAAAAGAATCGATAACAGCGACATCAGCAACAATTGTGGGGTCTATTTCTGCAAAAATTCGTAAAACTTCTGCAGTAAATAATCAGGTTAAATTAGTATTATTAAAAAGGCTTATCTCAGGGGCAGAAATCCATATATGTCCCTTAATATTCCGTCATATTACCTAAAACTCCGGATCTTGCAATAGTTTTGAATGAATATTGAAGGGAAATATGTGTGGGTGATTTTAGGAGACCAAACATGCGAAGGAGATCAAAATAGAATGGATACTCATGGATAAATGGATAAAAAATGGAGATAATACAGAGAGGCTTTAGAGATTTCATATTTGAGGATGTGGTCTCACTTTTTATTCAATATAGGAATACATTATTCAGACACCAATTAAATATACTTTTATGTTATATTAACATTTTCGAAAAAATTTTAAAAAATGATGATTCAGGTTGCCGAGAGTAATAATTTGAATCGTGGTAGTTCGCAAGAACCGGGATCATCGAGAACCGGCGAAGGGCAACTGGCAAACCGCCTTTCGCAGGCCATACCAGTTAAAGCAGAATTACGTTATCTAACAGATTTCTTTCCTGATCAAGGTTCAAGTGATCGCCGTTTAACTCGTTCACAAACGTTATATTCATCACCATCTTCATCGGCTGTGGTAATAGTATTTCGATTTCTTTTGGTGGAATATATATTTTTATACCATACATTGTTTTTTATGTCCGAATAAAAAACTACTCTGCTCTAAATTACTCTATATCTTCCAGTCTACTTTCTAGAGATTTTTTGAAAACCATAATCTTTGTCAAATACTTCCAATATTCCTCATTTTCTCGGTTTTTTCCTTTTAAAAATTTTTTTCATCTGCAGCCTCCTATTTCATCGCAATTTGGTAACACCCTATTAGGATACCATAACCATTTTTCGATTCCACAGCTCTGGTAATCCCTTTAATTATCTTCGATACCCTACCAAACTGTATTTTATCTATATTCTTTTATTAAAAATTTTTAATATTTCCTTGTCTCTATTAAATTTTGCTAATTCATTGGCTTTCTCTGGGATCATAATATAGTACCAAACTCCTTGTGTTCTTTTCTATTTAATCTACTATTGCTCCCTTAGAAGTAGAATGGCTCAGTGGGTTGCAGTTCTGAGCATCGGTGCTGAAGTCTCCAAAGAAGTAAACCTGTTCAAAAATCGTGCTGGCGAATGAATTTTTATCGCCAAGGGACTCCCTGGCTGTCTAGTGCGACAAGCCAGCTGAGCGTTTCTAACCAGTAATAATGAGGGCTTTTATAAAAAAACTATTGCTCCCTTAAGATTTTTTATGGTGGACGCGGAACCTTTGCCCTGTGCCTTTAGAGCCTTTTGATATATTTATATGTTGTAGAAGTCATTCCCAAACCCTGTCTATTCTTCATTAACAATGGCTCTCCAAAGTCCTATTGTGTTGTTATTTCGTAGTCGTTTCAAATTCTTTGCGTCTTTAATCCTCCTGAGCCTATTATATTTACTTTACTTAATAGCATCCATCTCCATCTTACTCCCTTAGATTACCATATACTTGAGAAAAATGAGGATTTGCTGAACCTGAAAGTGGTGCAAGATTCTGTAAAATGGAGGAATATAAGGAGTTTTGAGATATCAGTGGATATGCTTATTAGTTTAAATGTTTAATTGTAATTAAATAAATATAATTGGGGAATTTTATTTAAAATATATTTTCTGTGGCTTACAGTAATATAATTTTTGGCTTATAGGTTACAAGGGAAACGGCTCAAGACTGTTCCCAAAACTGTATTAGTCCTCAGACAAGGTTTTGTTTTTTTCTTCTGGATATGATTTTGCGTATTACGTTTTTTTTTTATACATAGAAAGCAAAATGAGATCTGCTAATTTGAAAAATGATGTGGGAAAATCGAACTTTTGGAAAAAATAAAATTTTTTATATAAACTTTTTTTCCCTTCTGTGTTTATTTGTATATCTCCCTGAATTTTTTGTTTATTGCTTTGTCTTTTCATTTCATTTGTTTATTGCTTTCTTTTTTGGCTTATACAGATTTCGTACAAAAAAAAAGCACAGTCGTTTATCTCATAAAGAAGCGGAAAAATCTTCACGCAGCCAAGCACAGCCAGGTTATCAAGTGTTACAAGCTGCAACATCATCAAACGAACAATTTTCAGCTCGAGCAAAATCGCAAAATTTGGTTATTTCTGAAGCCGTTTCGTCTGCGTTAGCTTTTTTTTTTATGAATTACTAATGTTGGTATGTTGATACATATCACAGCTGCCCTTTTAAGTTTTTTGAAAAGATTTCACAATTTCTTTTTAAATTCCCACATTTAGTTAAAAAATTTCAACTCAAATTTTCAAAGTCGAAGATATTAAGATTTTCTGTTATTTAAAAATTTAAAAATTTAAAATTTATCGTAAGAAAAAGATCTTCTAAATTACTAATCATCTATTTCAGTGAGAGTGGGTCTAGGAATACTTTTAATTTTACAAACTCAGCTCAAGCGTCATCCGAATTCCGTCAGTCATACTATTCGCCTTTGTTTGATAGGCATTCACAGGTTTGCATTCATATCTATTAGTAAAACATTGGTCAAGCCTTTAATTTTTTTTTCATTTAGAGGACATTAGACAGGATAATATAATGTGGTTATTAGAAGTAGTGCATTTATTCAGGACAATATTAGGGTACAATTGAGTATCAAGTTTGCAGTTACAAGTTTCGTTGGGATGAATTTTCTCTCGAAGCGAATGATGAATGGTCTTTTATCATCCCCTTACCTATTCGATGATTAAAAAACCTTTCATATGCGGTATGCTTGGCGCACGTAGGTGACCATGAATGTGGTTTTTTTAAAATAAAATCAAAATATAATATTAGTTATAACCAATTCATTTTATCAATATTAAATTATCAATATAAATGTATATATTTCATATAGATATATAATATTTCATGATTTTATAATTTTATGAATAATCTGATTATATTTAATTATTATTTATTTAATTACTAATTATATTTCTGTTATTTTAATTTCCGAATTCCGAATTTTTCTAACCAATGACCAAATTTCTCTAAATGTTCGATTAAACCGACTTAATGAAAATTACGAGTAGCGAAACACATTTGGCTGTAATGATAAAAAGCATTACCTATATCAACATCGTTGGTCATCACATTACATTTCTTTATTATGATTCATCACTTTCTGAAACTATTTCTTGTTTATACATAGTAAACATAGTTTTATGGGCAGAATTGATAATATCAAAAATTGATAATGTATTGTCAAAAATTATATTAAAAGGATATCAGAGTGGGATAATGGTCATTCGATCTTGCTATATGGCTCTGAGGTATGGCCAATGAGAGTGGAAGATTTTAAGAAGCTATCAGCTTTTGATCACTCTTGTCTAAGTTATTACATTTTACGGATCCTTCGAGCGAATAAAATCTTTCATCTTTCTTCTTCTAACAGTTCTCTTCATTACTGGTTAGGCTGGCTCCAATGGCTAAGACGCTTCCAAGCGGTCTAATGCCATCATCGACTCTAATAGAAGCCATTCCTTTTTCCATTGTCTAAGTCCATATATTGCTGGTCCATCTATACGTTCAAAATCTTGATCTTGATTGGCCCACCTCGCTTTTGACGTCAGCCATCACATCACACGATTAACAAGTAACGAAATATGCGTCAACTCTTGTGGTGAACGACGGAGAACATACCTTAACCACCGAAGGCTTTGTTATAATATTAATTTAGCAAGATCGAACGAATGGTGGTGTTTGAACGAAAGTGGATGCGATCATATGATATTTTATCCGCTGGACGATCCCGTAAAATATACTTCAGACAAAAGTGGTCAAAGGTAGATAGCTTCTTAATATCATCCATTCTCATTGGCCATGTCTCATTGGCCATATAGCAAGATCGAATGAATTACGGCCATATAGATACGGACTTTCGTTTTAATGGTAATTTCACGACGGCTCCATAAAGATTTCTTCAACCAGAAAAACGCATTTTTAGCTGCCGTAATCAAGGTTGTATTATCATCTTTTGCCTGGCCATTTGGTATTAGAGTGGACCCAAGGTATAAAATCGGGAACTTCCTCAACGTATCAACAAGTAATGAATCTATAAAAAGAGGCATTTTATCAGCTTCTAAGACGAAAAGACTTTCGTTTTATTTATATTGGTCGTGAGTCTAATTCTTGCTGACACGTTGTTTAGCATTACTTGCATTTCGTTATAACTGCCAGCAAAAAGGACCACATCATCAGCGTGTTCAAAATTACGATGCTCTGGATTGGTTTGGATACCCTTTGAATGCCGACAAGCAGTGTCCATTGCCCAGTCTATCACATAGTTGAATATCGTAAGGGGAAAGGACACAGCCTTGACGAACACCAGTTCTTATTTTGAAGAAGCCTGTCAGTTCCCCATAAGATCGGACGAGCGGATAAAACCGCACATTATTGTATCCATCTTCACTCAAATATCACCTATATTACTAATGTTATCACCGAGCCTCGCCTTCGCTGGTTAGGACACGTACTCCGTCGTCCACCACAGGAGTTCGCACCTATTTCACTACTTGCGGAATCCTGTGATGGTTGGTATCAAAAGCGAGAAAAGCCAGTCAACACCTGGACTGATACAATCAGAAAAAATTTTAAACGTATAGACCGGCGATATATGGATTTAAGCGATGGAAAAAGGAATGGTTCCTAGCGATACTACTAGCGATGGTGTTAGATTAAGCAGTGTTTTACCCTTGGTAACGTTTTACCCTTACAGACAGCGGACTCAGTCCAACCAGTAATGGTGAAAATTATTAGAAGAAAGTGGGATAGTGGTTATTGTGTTGAGAGGAGAGGGTTTGGCTACTGCATCGGATAGCATCTGTTATTGAAAAATCAGTATGGTTTGCCAGATGTCTCCTTATTAAAGATTTGTTATCGTAGTGGAAACAACCTGACCAAAAATGTTGAATTACCTATTACATAAGAATATATTAATTATATAAAAAAAATCGTACCTTCATTTAATTTTGTTTTAGCTGCACTTTAGTTGTTAATTTAAGGAACTTGGTACTTCGACTGTAGGCTCAACTGAAATTGTACGTAATGAAATCAGTGAACGTTTTGGTAGTTTGCCAAAACCAGTTAATCAGCTAATTGAATCAGTAACTAATTTTCCTGGTACTAGTAATAGCAATTATCAAATTATTTTGGAAAATCAATCAACTCAGCTGAGAAATATGCAAAGGTGATTCTTGCTTACTTTTAATCTATTTAGTTTATTTTCTTTTCAAATTATACTCCTTTTATTACTTAAATTATTTTAATTATCGGCAACATTCCTTTACGGTTCATTTTCGTTGCAGCATTTTTCTGCTCAGCAGTTAGTTTCATTCATCAATCTATTTTTATCTTGCAGCCTTTTTTGGTTTGATTCGCCTACACATTTTTTGGTATTTTTATAAAAGTTTGTGATAGCGTGTTAGTTGGTTTTAACGATATCTGTATCTTTAAAACGCTCTCGACCACATGAAATTAAGGCGATTGAAAATATTAAGTTGCAGCCTGAAGCTATCTTTCTTAAAACATATAAATAATTGAACTATTCGCTTTTTTTGAAAATTTAATAATTATCTGCGTCAATATTTTATATTTAATAATGTTTAATAATGTTTAATATTTAATAATATTTTTATTATTTGGTGTACCCATAATATCTTCAATTTATATCTGAAGAAGTGCAGTCAGAGCGAATTATCATATGGCTGACATTGAGAAAATTTATTTTTTAATTTGCACGCCAGTCGATATTTTTTAACATTTAGTATTTTAATATTTATATATTTCCAGAACACATGCCGTTCATACGGCTTCTTCATTTTTGGGCACATTTGTTCCTCGTGTTCAACAACTTCTTGGCACCCATACACATTCCAGTAAGTTTTTAAAAAGAAAATAGCAAGTAAAAAGAATTAGCTATTGTTTTCATTGATTTGATTTTTTTGAATATAACAGCAATTTTATATATTAAAAAAAACTGTTTGTTAAATGAATGTATTATTCTTTTAAATTTATTTCATTAGAAATGTAAATAATGAATTTTATAAATTTAAAAAAATCGGTGGAAGGGCATCCGTAAACTCGGAAATCTTATTCTTAGAGTATTTTCGCTCTTATAAGTGAAATGATACGGTACGTTTTGATGTACTATTAAAGAGGAATAAGATAATGAAGAAAATAAAGATAAGATTATGAGGATAGGGAGAGAAAATAACTGATGAAGAACTTATTAACATTATGAGGTTAAATCAGTATAAGGAGATTTGTGGTAATGTTGCTAAATAAATATTGCGAAAAGCGAATGAGAAATTTCAAGCGAATTTGCGGATTTTCGAGGCTATGTGGACTGGGTATAATCATTTCCGAGAAAATTATCTGAGAAGTTATTAAAGAGATGTTCGGAAGTTGAGAAAAAAGTTGAGAATTAGGGATTGGAAAGGATTTAACAAAATATAGCAGGTTTTTTGAGAGTGAGAGTAAAGAGCGTGTTTTTTTTGAATATTTGTTGGGCAGTTCCAATTATTAAACAGTGATTTAGCTAATTAACTTTTGATTGATTAACTATGATCATTCACCCAACCCATGTTTTTGGGGATGGGAATTTTGGATATTCAATTTTTTGTTCATAATTATAATTTCAATATTCGTCAGAAAAATTCATATATTTATTTAAAAATTATTCGAATATTCGAATTTTCTAATGTTTCTGATTTTGAAACTGAAAATTCTTTCTTTCCTTTTTCCTTAACCGATATATTTGAATTTTCGGAAAACGAACTTTTGGTTTTCGCGATTACTTTCGGGCCATTTTGGTGAATTTTCCCAGATTTTAGATAAAATTATATCTCCCAAAGAAGAATACTGCATCATCGGATGGCAGCTAGTTAGTTTTATCGATTTAATAGATTATTTATGTTAGGTCAGATTTACATTATTTGTCGATAAAGAATATTAGAAAAACTTCAAGATTTGGTCATCATCTTCTCAAAGGTGTCCTCACTCGTAGTGCTTGAGTTCGAGATATTGCATGTGGCAGATTAAAAGTAGTCGCGATGGGCTTTTAAATATAATGGATTGTCAAACAATGGATTGTACTTTTTTTATATAGATTTTATTTTCTGAAAAAAAAATTTTTTATTAATTCGTTTATATCGATACTATCTCATGAAATTGACTTAATTTCTCATATAATTTAGTTTTTTTTATTTTTTCTATTGAATCTAGAATTTTAGGAAAAATAATATTTTGTGAACATTTTACCATTTGATTTCTTAATTTGCTTTTATTCTTATAACTTCTCGTCAAGAATTTATATGTCAGAACAGTCAACATAGATTTTTCACTCTCAAGAATAATTTCAGCTCCAAAAGAGTTAATATTTCTTGAATATTAGAAATTAAAGTTGAAAAGTTTTTAAAATATTTATTATATGCAATATTTATTGAGAAATATCCCAGATTAACAGTATATAACATATAATATTCTTTTTTTATAAAAAAAAGTGGCAAATAACATTTTAATATTTTTATAAAAATATGAAAATGAAATATTGTCTTTCTGAGATCTTTGAAATATTTCCATGAACACGATTGACGGATTAGAATTTTGATAATAAATATATTAGACTTCTTACTTACTACCACTTTTACAACTATGCAAAGCCTTAATTAAATGGTGGAAACTTGTTAAACTTTCGATATTTTTATTTTGATGGTGAATATCTTTTGATAGAAAGTTTTTTGATGGACTTTTTTGACGGCAAATATTTTTTTTATTCTAAACAAATATTTTGACTTGTGCTTAATATTTAATATTTTCCCTTTTTTTTGATTTCCCAGCAAAAAATTCTGTTTTAATTAAATTTTGGTTTACTCTATCAACTATCGGAATGGAATCTTTCATAAGGGACAAGGGATAGAAATTGAATCTCTCGGTATTTTCAATGTTTCAGTATATTGGACTTTTAAATAGTGGTAAGTTTATTTCTGTGGCTATTTGTTTCATTTCATTCATTTCACGTCAGAAATTTCGTATGCTGATTACTGGTATTATTTTTTGGTATCTTTTTGTAGATTGCTTCATTAAATGTATTAAATTTTTTTAAAATTTACGACAGTTTAATAGAAGATAAGAAGGCTTCAAAAAAGGCTTTGATGGCTTTTTCGATTGCATTGCCATCAAAAAATATAATTATAGACAAACAACCATTTTCAAAATATATACAATTATCTTGATTTGTTCATTTTTTTTCGAAATTTTCCACTCGGAATATTTAAAACTTTATCGCAAATTTGAGATTTTGAGTGCACATCTGCGAATGATTTTTAATTTAGTAAATTAGGAACGTTGACTTAAGTACTCTGATTTATTTAATAATAAAGTAATATTAATTAATGAATATATGGATTAAACAATTAAAATATATAAAAGTAATATATATGTATAGTAAAAGATTTGATTCTAGCTGGTAATATCATTTATTATATATAAACTACATATTTTATTATTATTACGTTAGATATTATAAGGACTTCAACGGAAATTCTGGTTTTTTTTAAATTAAAAATCATTAATTTCTGGTTTTGTTAACGATAAAGTCGTTAACAAAAAACGGTTGGATCGATTATTTACTTATAAGGTTTTTTCATCATTATTTTTCGACAACTTTTTTATATTTGTTTTTATTATTTTTAACCAATGTTTATCATTTTTTTATCGGTAGAAATTATTTCTAATTTGATTTTATTGTTTTAATGAATTTGCATAAAGTTTCCGAATGTTTTTGTTCCAGTTATTATTGTACAATATGGATTAATTTTATGTTGTTTATTCGATTTAAACTGTGGAAATTGTGGTATCGTATCATTATTGCCATGTATAGGTAATATGGTTATGAAAACAACGATATTAAAATCATAAAGATATTTTTTGTGATTTTTAAAGGTGATATGAATTTTTAGGTGTCCGAGTAATAGCGATTATGGATGGGCTTCGGTCATCGAATGAAATTCGTCAAGCTGAAGCAGCTGCTGATTTGGCTGAAATGTTATTGCTCGGTAACGAAGAAAGTCTTCCAAATCTTCCTATTAAAGAAATTGTTAGCGTTCTCATTCTTCTACTACAAAAGGAACATAATTTCGAGCTGGTCAGTCAATTTTATTTTATTTTTCTCCTTTTCGATAATCCGAAAATTCGAATATTGATGGAAATTAACAATGAAATTAATCAAATTTGTTCTATAAGATTTATACATTTGTTAAGGTTTTAGATGCTAACGGCAGCACGTTGTTTATCAAACATGTTAGAAGCTTTGCCACGAGCTCTTCCAATTGTTGTAGATGCTGTTCCATATCTACTTGAAAGAGTATGTTTCATATTTTGTCAATACGATTACTACTAGAATTTCTGTTTTTTTCATCATTTTTTTTCTCTAGCACGGAGTAAAATGTAAGTCAAAGGTTTGCACGAACCATTTGTTAGAAATATAAGGTCAAGTTTGATAGGGTGATGCTTAAATTCTACTTGCTCTTCTATCTCCAAATGATTTTCTGGCGAAGAGGTATATTAAAAGAATCAGAACTATTTTCAGTTGAAAAGGATTGAATGTATCGACGTCGCTGAGCAATCACTTATGGCATTGGAGGTGATGTCGAAAAGAAATGGCAAAAATATCATGTCAGCTGTATGTTTTTATTTATATTTGTAAGATTTTGCGTAGTTGGTAATGTATATTGTAATCTGTGGATCTTCACATTGTATGGTACGTTCTCAATCGCAACGTCTATGAATTATATTGTGATATTTCAGGGTGGAATCGCTGCTACTATTTCACATCTTGATTTTTTTTCTGTCCCTTCCCAACGTTTAGCATTTCAAATTGCTGCTAATTGTGCTTTATATGTAACAGCAAATGATTTCGGTCATGTACGTGAATCATTGCCTGAACTTACCCAGCGACTGTTAATTGAGGTATACTTTTTGTTTGCTTTGAATTTCCATTTTTATAAATGGAGTGTTTCAATATTATAAGTTGTGAAAATGTGAAATTATAGGATAAGCGTTGTCTTGAATCGATATGTATACTTTTTTGTCGGCTGGTTGATAATCTTCGTGGGCATTGTGATAAATTACGAGAAATAGCTGGACAGAATTTTGATTTTCTTAAGAATATTCAACAGTTATTACATATACAGCCTTGTGCAATAGGTCCGAATACGTTTCAATCGGTAATTCGTATGTTGCGTTATATGGCTGCAAGGTGTAGCGACATTGCTGTTGCCCTTATTGATATGGGTAAATTTTAGTTTTTAGTTTTAGTTTTTTCTCAATTTTTTTTTGTAGCCAGATGTACAAGGTTATACTGTTGTAGATTGCGCACGTACTATACGTTTCCTAATTGTTGGTACGGAGAGTACAGATCGATTAATTGAAGTAGTAAATCGTCCTCCGCAGCATCTTCAAGAATTAGTTTTTCTGGCTGGGTATATTTTCCGCTTTGTGCTTTACATTTTTTTATTTGTATGAATATTCAGTTTTTTCATTTCGTTTTTTCATTTTTTTTCATTTTTCAGTGAGTTATTACCACCATTACCTGTTGATGGAATCTTTTCTATCGATAGTGTGATGCTGCGCAGCCATGGAGGGACTAACGATATCGCTTCTATTCAGTGGTTATGGAAGGATGATACCTGTCAGTGGCTGCCATATAATAATTTTGATAGTAGAATAATAGAAGTAATTCTTTTAAAATCTTTTGTTATTTCATTGTATTCTTTATTTTTTTTTTTTAAAGAATCCTCACCATTACTGGATATTAAACTACATTAAACTCGCTCCACTGGCTTGTCATATTTGGCAATATGCCAGAAAGTCCCTTGGCGACAGAAATATAGATGAGTCGCCATCATCACCCGGATTTTTGTATAGGTTTACTCCTGCGGGGAATCGAACCTCAGCATCGGCACTCCCAATTGAGCAACAATCCACTGAGCTATTCTATCCTTATTCTTTATTATTTATATATTATTTATTCAATTATTATTATAATTTGATTTCAAAGGCTTATTAAAGTAATTTTTATAGATGGCTCATTCAAACAATGAAAATGAATTAACTCTACAAATCAATTCGAATGTATATAGATTAGATCTGAATCGTATGTTACAAATTAATCATGTGACTGGTAAAGAACGACAGATTCTTCGTAGAAGCAATATTCAAAGTAAAATATTTGACCAAATTCTTTATATTTTAATTTGTTTTTATACTGGAAGCTACACAATTGTCTTTAAGGAACAAAGACTTCCGCTGAACAAGACAAACGACAAGAGTTACTCTACAAAGATCCAGTGAAAATTGAGCAAGTTGTGCAAATGCTTTTTCCTATACTGGTTGAATTAGATGGAAGTTCGGCAAGTTTTAAAAAAATTTTTTATATTGCAGATCATCATATTTGCAAATTATTTTCTAAACAATAATTTGTAAACTAAAGGAAAGAATTGTAGAGTGGACCGGCATTACGCTATGAAAGTCTCCGTTTAATGTTGCGCATGGTTTATCCTTCTAATGCAGAATTATTGAAAAGTCTCGGTGAATTACCTTTGGCCGGTCATGTTGCCAGTGCATTAGCAAGTCCGAGGAGCAAAGATCTTTGCGTGGTCGCATCTGCTTTACAACTTGTACATATTCTAGTTGAACGACTTCCAGCATTATATGTACCACTTTTCAAACGCGAAGGTTCGTTTTATAAGGAACTGAAAGTAAATTTTCAGTTTTCAATTTATTATTTCAATTTCAATTTAACCTTGTCAGTTCGTTTGTTTTTTTGAATTAAAGGTCTTCTTTAACATTAACGAAATGGAAATTTTTGCATTTTTTCTTAAGGTGTTGCTCATGAAGTGGAAAAACTTTCAAAGATGAAATGTGAGTCACCTCCTCAGTTACCTCCTGTACATCCACCTCCATCTGTTATTACTATGGCTCCTGCTCGAATGCGCGTGGGAATTAAGTCAAAGGCAGCTGCTACTGTAACGAGTGCTGAACATGACTCTATAATTCGTTAGATTTTCTTGCTGCAAAACAAATTGTTTTGATAGATTTTTAATTTTTCTGATAATTTAACAGATAAAGATTAACAGATGAAAGATTAACAGAAAAAAAGTGACTTAAAAATGAATTATTCAGAGAAGCAGTCGTCAAGCCGAAGCCGTAGCTCACAGCCATCTAATGCCTCATCATCGAGCACATTTGGAATTAGTGAGAATAGTACTCGCGTCATTATATCACCTAGTGGTGGGCGCCATCGCCGTAAAGCTTCACCGGAAAGGTCCAAAATGGAATCGTTCGTTTTCTGTTATAGAATGTTTATGTTTATTCAAGTAATGGGATAAGTAAGTAAAGATTTTGTTGTGCGTTATATCTTGTAGCCCGATTATTGCGTTTTTTTCAAAAAATAAACATGCAACAAAAAAACGAAAAGTCAAAAAAACAAAATTAAAAGATGGTTCTTATGGCGTCCCTTGCCTTAGATTACAGTTTAAAATATTTAATAATTTTTGTTAAAACTATGTTAACTTTTTAGTCCGATATCAAAGAAAGATTCTCGCAGAAAGACAGGTTCAGCAGCTTTTCTTCAATCGCTTCGCCTTCCTTCATTTCGCATGCCGGGAACATCGTCGTCTAGTACAAGCCAAGAAGTTGTTGCTACAAACGCTTCTACTCTTTCTTCGTTTTTCCCATCGTTTACTTCAGCTAATTCTTCTATTGTTCATACATCAGGTCAGCTCAGTTTTTCTTGACGTTTATTATTTCTAATATAATAAAGAAGTTTCTTCGTTACAAATTTATATTTTAAACTTTTATAGGTGGTGAAAGTTTATCTGCAAGTTTCACAGTTAATTCCGGTGCACGAAGTCGACTGATTTTTCCTTATGGTGGAGTTGCATCTTCCCATTTTAGTGGTCCATATAATTCATATCAGTCCAATTCTCTATCGACATCAGGCCAGTCATATTCTCTTTCATCAGCAGCTTCATCTCATTCCTCTTCTACGCTTAATCGCTATCAGAAAGATAAAGTACGTCACTGGATTCGAAAAGAAGGTTCATAATCTTTTTTTCAAAAAAATTTTTAATTTTTTTCTTCTTGATTCTTTATCTGCATTTTTCGATTGTTTTTTTTCAGATTTGCTCATTTGCTCATTTTAAAAAAGTTTTAAAAGTTTCCAAGAAAGTTTTTTTATTTTAAAAAATTTCAGCAGATTATCTCACACAGAAATATCTTTCGACATTTATGGCAGGAAATGATATGGATTCTCCGTCAAATATTGTTCGAATGAGCGCTGTAGCTCGTACACTTTTAGGTTCTATTGATGTTGGGAGTTCTCCTCTGGTTGAATTAAAGGTTAATTATTTCGCAAAATTGTTTTAATCGTATCCATCGCTTCAATTTTTTATTTATAATTTATTTATAATTTTTTATTTATTTTTTTATTCAATTTTTTCACAGATCTTAACCCGTTGATTGGTGATTTATTTATACATTTTTCATTTTTCGGAATTTGTATTTGTGATATTTTCTAGGAAATAATTTTGGAAAATGATGTAAGTCCATTCGAATTAAACCACAGTGGAGTCTTGTCGGCTCTGTCTAAATATTTAATAAGTGCTACTACGGATTTACAACCTCCAAGAAAACTTCGTTTAAAGCGTTTCGCTGCTGTTTTCATGTCGCTTGATGTAATATTTTTTTGGTTTTTATTTTCTGTCTTTGATTTTTTTGCCGTTGTATCTTTTATAGTTCTTTTATATGGTGGTTGATATAAATCTTTTTTTTAGCCAGATAATTTGCGACCAGCTGGTGGATCAGTTTGTTGGTTGGCTTTTGAAACACTTCTATTAAAGTTACTTGCTTCAATTGCTCAGCTCGAGCAGTTTCAGGTAAAAAAAAGTTAAAAAAGGTGCATAATAATTTTCACCATCGCAAAGCTGTATTTGTGTATTAAAGAATTGAAATTACAAATATTGCTATGAGCTATAGAATTATTTTTTTTTTCGTTTTTTCTGTGATTATTTTTTCATTTCCAGTTTTCATTATTTCTTCTTTTGTTTAAACATCAATATTTATTTATTTCGATAGGGATAATATTCTGTAAGGGTTGTTTTTTTTAAATGAAATTTATTATTGTGTTTATTGTTATCATTTAATTATCTTTCATTAAAGGTAAAAATGACTGATATGGGAAGTCTCTTTGGCACAAATAGTGGTCAACTTCGTGGTGCACAAGCAATGAGGTTCTTCCAGACTCATCAAATAAGGGTTAAAATTTTCTAAATTTTTAGCCTAAATATGGATTCTTTTTTTGGTTTTACTTTATTCTGAATTAATGGGAACGTAAATCAAAAATTTCATTGATGAGATAAATCTTTAGAAATTTGAAGAAGCAACAATTAAAATATTTTTTTCTGAAAAGTTGTATGCGCATTTAAATTCTTTTTTTAATAAAATTTCAGTGTAATTTACGCAGACATCCTTCTTGTCGGGAATTGCGTGAATGGCGGCGTGGTCACGGATCCATCAAAGTATTTCTTAGCACCTCTTTTTGCTTTTTATTTATATCATTATGTTTTTTGATTCTCAGCTAATTTAATCAGTTTGATTTGATTTAAATTTAGGTCGATCCATTAACAAGTGTTGCCGCAATTGAAAGGTACCTTATTGATCGCGGCATTGGAATTGTACGAAATGAAGATTCATCTGGCGATGAGGATGGTAGTGATGATGATGAAATGCCTTCTGTTAGCTTTTTATAGATCGATTAATTTTTTGTTCTAGCATTATTTTTATAAGTTCATTTTTAATTTTATTTTTAAAATCATGCTTTTAAATATTTGAAGGATGGAGCAAATTTTTCGAATAATTCTCCTAATCAAACTCGAATAGAAATATTGATTAATGATGAAAAGATTCCGGATAGTATCACCATTCTTCAGGTGGTGTTTTTAATTAGAATTTAATAATTTTTATTTTAAACGGTGGGATTCACGGCAGTTTTGAAAAAAAAAGCTGATTTTAGGCAATCCGGCAATTTTCGAACGTGTCAAACGAAAATAACGATCAAGTAGCCGCAACGGCAAATTTGTTCGCCAACACACATACGCTTTATTACAGAGCAGCGCCAAATCAAATGCATCATGAAGCAGATGCAATAGCTAATATGAAAATATTACCACCATCAAAAAATAGAGAAAGGAAGAAAATTGATGAAAGATTATGGATTGGTCAGCTCTTTTTTTCAATTTTTTTGTTATCAATGATGAAGAGTCTCAGAATGAAATACTTTTTATTAAATACTTTTATATACTTAATACTTTTTAAATACTTTTTAAATTCAGGCGGTGAAGTCCCAATGTCGGAGTGTCCACTCGACCCTTATCTTTCTGAATCTTTGCCTGTTAACATTGATGATCCTTGTGTGCCTTCTTTGATACTTCTTCGTTTATTGTATGGTTTAAACCGTTTTTGGTGGTCATTATTTGATGATGAAGATGTGCCGCCTACTAGCCACGCGCCTTTGCTTGCGAATTCGTAAATAGATTTTTTTTATTTGTTATTTTGTGCAGTTTTAATTGATAGCAGATTTTTTACTATAGAAAAGTCTTTTTCCAATTTACTTAATTAATTTACTGCGAAAATTTCCAAATTTTTTATATTCAGATTAAATTCAAATTAAATTTTAGATCCTTTCATTGTCCAAAATTGAATGCTAAAGTAAGTCGACAATTGTCAGATTTTCTCTCTGTTGCAACCCAGCAAATTCCGAATTGGGTTTCTGATCTCATTAAAACTGTGTATGTTTAGTTTTCATTCTTCGAATTTTTTAGTTTTCTTGCCTTTTTCATTAAAGATCTAATGAATTTTCATCAAATAGTTTTATTCTCATGAAATTCTCTTTACTCTCATGAAATTTTAATAATGTTATTTAGGCCTTTTATATTCACATTCTCATCTCGCCGCAACTATTTATATTCCTCTGCATTTGGTCGTGACAGAGCTTTGATGCATCTTGTTAATCAAGTTGATGGTGGACAAACTGATGGAGAAAGTGGTCGTTTGACTCCACGTTTAGAACGGCGAAAAGTATCAATAAAAAGAGATGATTTGTTAAGGCAGGCGGAACAAGCGTTGAATAGTCTTGGAAATAGCAAGTACGGCTGTTTTAAATTTTTTTGGAGAATTTATTTGTTCATGCACTGGATTCATTTATTTTTTATAGAGCTATGTTGGAAGTCGGATTCGAAGGTGAAGTGGGGACTGGTTTCGGTCCTACTTTAGAATTTTACTCAACTGTGTCGCGGGAAATCCAAAGACATTCTTTGCGTTTATGGCATGGAAGTGCATCCTGGGGTGATACTGGTGACAAAGGTTACTGTTTAAATTGATTTAATATAGACCAAATAACGAAATTTTAACTTAAAGAAAATTGTCTATTTATCATCTACTGCTTAAAAGTGATTCATTCAAGATTCTCCTGCGGTCGAATATACTGTTTCTGCATATGGGCTATATCCCGCTGCACAAAGTATTCATTGCAATAAACAAAGAGAAACACGCATTAAAAAATTCGAATTTCTAGGTCGTCTTCTAGCACAAGTGCTTATAGATGCCCGTATGGTAAGTTTTCTTCAGGCTGTTTTAGTAGCGAAGTCAAAAATAATTCAAAAATCATTTAATTTATTAATTCATTTAATTTTATCGCTTTTATTTTGAATGCAATCTATGCACCGGATTTACTCGTTTTAAGCTCGACTTACCTCTCAATCCTGTATTTTTTAAATGGCTTTGTGGCGAAGAAAAATTTTTCGGGTTAGCAGATCTAGAAGTATTTGACAAGGAGTTATATTCATCTTTAAGATATCTTTCTACAAGTGAAGCAAGCGCCTTGGAATCGCTTGAACAGGTCAGTATTCTTTAGAAATCAGAAAATAAGAGTTTATTTAAAATCAAAATAGTGAAATGTTTAGCCATAACTTATCCTGTCGCTTCCGTATGAATAAACCTGTTATCAATAATGAAGTCCCAGTGATAATGGCAATCCGACAATGGAAGATATGCAATGAAGATAATTTTGCATATCTTGTAAATATCTTTAATCGGGATCAGCCAAAAAAAATCATTAAAATTTACAAGATTATTCAAAAGCGGGATGGATAGAGAGAGAAATAAGTAGTAAAATGGATAAGTAAAATTTCTTTTTAAATTTCGTTTTTAAATTTATACGTTTTGTTTCCAAGTCTAATTTGAACTGATTTTTCATTTTTTTACAGTATTTTACGCTTCCATCTGATGAATCGGTGGAACTAATGAAAGGAGGTAAAAATCGCCTGGTGGATTCTTCGAATGTCATGCAGTTCATTAAGGTTATTTTTTTTGTCGTACATTTCTTTTTATAATTCTTCCATTTTTTTGTTGTCTTAAATATAACATTAATTAAATACTTTTATTTAATATGTTTAGCTCGTAGCGCACTGGCAGTTAGTCGAAGGCGTGCGGCGTGAAATGGAAGCTGTGCGTATCGGATTCGAATCTGTTGTAAACATATCTGAATTAAGCATTTTCACATCAGAAGAGGTTTCGGTTATTTCTTATCGTGCATTAATTTAATTTTCTGATTTCTGAATATTTTATTTTATTTTACGTACCAATCGATTTCGAATTCTCTATCTATGTAAAATTTTATTGGAATGATTAATTTCTGTAATCTAAGTATTTTTTGTAATTTAGATGGAAGAATTGTTTTGTGGCTGTTCAGAGGCAAATTGGTCAAAGATATGGAGTGAAAATGCTTTACAGACAGCTATTAAACCTGATCATGGTTATACTCATGATAGTGATCAGATACGTTGGCTGATACAGATGCTAGCTTCTTATAATTATGAAATGGTCAGTTTAAGTATATTTTTTCATTTATTTTTTTCTGGGAAATTTTATCAAAAATTTTTATTTTATTTTATTTTCTGGGAAATTTTATCAAAAATTTCTTCCTATTTTTGGTTCTTTAATTCTATTTGATTTTTTCTATTATTTACAGTAGAATTTTTTTATTTAATAAAATTTTTTATAACGAAATTCGAATTGGAATAAATAACACTATATTCAGTGAGAGATTAGAGTCTTTTATGCGAATTAACCGAATTTTTATAGCAACGAAAGTTCCTACAATTTGTTACTGGTTCACCGAAATTACCAGTTGGTGGTTTTCGTTCACTTAATCCACCATTAACAGTTGTCAAGAAAAGCGGGAGTTATATGAGTGGTGAAGAGGAATTGCCTTCAGCAATGACTTGCTACAATTATTTGAAAATACCTGCCTACAGCAGTTATGAAGTATTTAGGAACAGATTCGATATTGCTCTTCGCTTTATATATAGCTTTCATTTAACGTAATTTTTTGATTGATTAAGATCATTAAGTTAAAGATCTGGTATCAAACTTTTTTTATCCATACTCGCTTTTGTAGTTATTATGTTTCATTTTTTTTTGAATCATATTATAATTAAATCATTACACTTTGTTGGCTTTTGATTTTTCCTGCGTTATGAATTATTTTCATTCTATTTACATTTGAAGGATTATAGAATCAGAAGCTATTTACTGTTCAAATAAGTGAAATATTCTTTCCCAATGTAAAAAAAAATTGGTTAAAATTAGAAGTAAAAGTCTTGTTCAAATTTTTTTTACCTATCATTATTCAATGAATGGCGAGTTTTCAGTGATCTTCGTCCATGCTTAGTGAATGTGCTTTGTTCATATTTTGGATTTGTTACAAGCTATTTTATTGAATTTTTTTTTAAATTTATTTTTACTTGTTCATAGAAAAGCTGGTCAGAATTTGCTTCGATAGGAATTGTTATGTAAAAATTCAGTTCTTATCTGTCAATCGTTATTTATATGGGTTAAATTGTATTGCGCCTCATTTATATAAACCCTTCAGGTGTTTATGTCAAAATAAAAATTTCTTTCTAGAAAATATTGAGGTTTTTTGTGAGACACATCACATTTGATTTATAACTGTATAATTTCTAGTTATTGCTGGTTAGGTTTCATTCACTGAATACAAATGTAAGGCGTTTTTAAGTATTTTTATCCGAGGTCATGGTTGGAGATGATTTTTTTTAAATTACCCGCTTCTTATGTCGCTTGGATCTATATTCAATATTACATCCAAAAATTCAATTTTTTATCTACGGCAGAAATAAGCAAATATATACGAGCGAATGTGGTTGCCAATATGTGAGGAGTCTGTTTAGGACCCCGCGGTCTTATTTTGGGTCCGATTTCGTAACTATCAGATGGAAAAAGTATTTCTAGCTACATTTCCTGAGCTAAATTTCATCTTTTACTGAGTGATGAGGCGTAAATTTGGGTCCGTATCACTTGCCAATTGAATCAGTTCTCTGTTATAATAAATCCGGTTACAGTCATGCAGAAGTGAGGTGAGATTTGTCCTGTTTGGTTTGGTTTTTAAATTTGGTTTTAGAAGAATGGAGAAAAAATAATGTGAATTGAGTGGACAAATTAATTTAAATCACATGTGGATGAGACATTTGTGACATATCGAATTAGTAGGTATTAATTTATCCTTTTCTAATAGAAATATACTGGAAAGGCTAAGAGGAAAGGCAAAGGTCATAAAGGTACCAAAGACTAATGTGGAAAGGTGCAAAAGTGGAACAAAACATAAACCGGAAAATTATCGGTCTGTTGTCTGTTGTAATCAGCGTCGTAATATCAAGGAAAAAACTAACAAACCTCTTTCTTCTTTTAGCACCATTGCTGGCTAAGCTAGTTGTACTGAAGATTAGGTAAGAAGTTTCCAATCCACTCGATTCGCTGCCATTCTGAACCTCTTATTTCAATTTTCAATTCTTAATAGAATTGGCTGCAGTAGGACAATTGCCACCGAGAGTTGAGATTTGAGTTCGAATTGGGCATACACACTACTATTCTTCTTTGGGCGCAGCTTCGTCACCTAATGGAATGGAGAAAAACAAAAGAGGATTGGCTCAGTGGGTTGCTACTCAATTCGGACCATCAATCGATATTGAGGTTTTGAGGTTCTACTCATGGAAGGACTAAACCTGTCCAAGAAATGCGGGTGTTACTGATAATTCAGCTGTATTTTTATCGCCAAGGCCCTGCCATATTTGTCTGATGTTAAGCCAGAGAATCGAATCTAACCAGTGATGATAACTGCTCTTAAAAAAAAAGATTAAATTAACAAAACTTTTTTAACAATGTAAAAAGGTATAATTTTAGCGAGTTTTCTGCTTTTGTTTTCTGATGGCTTAGCAATGGACTATTTTTGATATTTAGTGGCCAGTCCGTAATAGATTAACTCATAGACTGGTTAATTTTATTTCAGGTCATCATCGTACTTTAAAATATTGTGACTCGTGCTTGTGCATTCAGTCTTCTTTGACTTGCTTCGCCTTCAAGTGTCTCGTAGAATTTGAACGCTTGTACCGTTTTTCATCGCTCTTTGCTACCGTGAATTTTTCGCTATAATCTCTTGATAATCCAAAGATCGAGGTCTAAAATGGAGGATGAGAGGACTAAAAATATATCGTAGTTAAGCCTTCGGTTGATCTTTTCTTGCCAATATGCGCTGAAACCAAAGGAATCCTTCTAATTTGCCACTAATCATTTCTAGTCGTCTCTTTAAAAATCCCTTTGTCAAAGCAGTAATATTCTTTCTCATCAGATATTATTTATTTCTTCTTTTATTTCCTACTTCCATAGATTCTTTATAGATTCGTCTTATAAGTAAGTAAGCAAATAAAACTGCTATTAATTTTTCAGATCGAATTCATTCCGACGAGTTTTTCTTTCATTAATTTTATTTTCATTTCTTTTATTTGTTGTTTGATCGTCTTTATTCATCGAATTATTAATTAACTAAATGAGAAAAATTCTACTCATTTTATTCCCTTGAAATCAATATGTTCGTAGTTTCTCCCCGAAATGATTATCAAAGCGATTCGCGATAATAAATTTTTTTGCTCGGTTCGTCAACTAATTAATGAGATCGTCTTATAAGCAGTCTTTTCTTTCATTCCTTTCTATTTATCACCATCTTTTGATTTTATCGAAAATTAATTGATTTGAAAATAGAGCGAAATTTATTGCAACACAATTGAACGGAAAAAGGTAAGAAGCATGTGAGAAGTCTGAAATAGGCAATTGGCTAAGCTGTTTTGTCTTTTGCGAAAAGTGTTTCGAAGTAATTTAACCAACCATAAAGTATAATAGCAACTTAGTTGTCTGTGCAACGCAATGCTTATTTGGAACTTTGTTCACGTCGAGGTTCGAAGTCGTTTATTAATTTAATGCGTGTTGGTAAAGAAAAATCGTTTTAGCTTGTTTGAGTTAAAATCAACTAACTGAATCTTCTTCTTCTATTAACGCACTCAATGGCACTTCTGACGGCACATTTAGTGACTATTAGGATGAAATCTATCTTCCAGAGAGAGTCAATTTTGAGATAGAAGCAGCTGCCAGCACCACTTTTAATTACAGGTCGAGCGGTCTGATTCGACTAATGGATGGATGGACTCAATCACAGCAAAATACGGCACATCATCTCCTAAATTCCTTCAGCCAATGGAATCAACTAAACGGGAAATGCTGTTGGTCGAAAAACAAAATACTACTGAAAAATATCGTTCAGTAAATAAACAAAGAGTTCATAACCGATATAATGCATTGTATCAAGAAAGCATTTAAGGATTTTCTTCGCTGGATCTGTGGAAAATATTATTTTCTACTCCATAACTATTGTAATTATAATAATAAGTATAAATACTAAAAGCTTCGTTCGAATTCATCTTATTACTACAAATTACTTATAAAATTACCTAATAATTATTTAAAAAATTATCTACAAGATTGCCTATTTATCCAATAATTTGGTACGAATTGCCTAAAACTAATCAAAAAAGATTGATCGAAAAACAAGAAAATATTTTCTTGATTAAAAATAAAATGATTATTACTTTGATTTTCTTTATATTATAAAATTTTATTCCACTTTGAACTGAATTAATATGATAATGATAATATAATAATGATAATAATGATTTTTTCATAAGTAATAAGGAAATTTGAAGAAAAAGGAGTGGCTTTTGTCATTTTATTTTTGAAATATGCCATCGGATCAAGCGCTTTGCAAAACGCCCTTATTCTTATGGCCAGCACACCCAACCTAATTAATAATTATGAGAATTGTTAGAAAAGGAAAATAAGGAAATTATGAATATTTATTTATTGAATTCCTCTTATAGTATTTTATTTCTTCTTATAATATTTATTTTTCATTTTTTCAATTATAATTTTCTTTAAAATCCACTCGAATAGATTGTATATATATATATATATATGTATAGTAAATATTAGAAAATTGTGCAGTAAATTTTAATGAAATAAATAATATTTGATGAAATGTTTAACTTCTCGAGGATTCAAAACATCGAGTAACATTTATTTTAACTCGCCTTCGGTTTCACGAATTCCTAGTTTATAATTCTGATACTTGATTAAGCGCTTAGTGTTGCACAATATTATACTCGAATAAATTAAATGAATAATAAAAATAATAAGAAAAAAAGTAGAGGGTGATATTTATTAATAAATAAAATATGTGTACTTATTCGATAATTTCAAAAAAATTTGAAAAGTTCTGAAAAGAAATAATTTCCATGGAAAGGTATTTTAAATAAATGGAAGAGGGTGGAAGGGAGAGGGGGTAGTAGGGGTAGGGGTTCGAAGGCCGGGCTGGGAAGACGAGGGAGATCCATATAGAATTCAACTGTAAATATTTTAACGATGAAGCTTTATTTTCCTGTTTTTTTATTTTTCTTAATATCACCATTTTTGTTTTTTGAGTCATTTATTTCATTCTCAGATTTCGAATTTTTTGTTTAATCTCAAATTTTCTCTTCCTTTTCAAAGAAATTCTTATGTATCTGTGGATTTATTATGAGTTCTCGTCTCTTTATTATTTCCATTAATATTAATTCAAAGTTCGATATTTCTAAATTGTCAACCAATTGATACTGGTGACGTAATCTATTTAAAACTGCCATTTCTACGAAATATTCAACGAAATTAAGTTTTGGTTACACTTTGGAAAGTCGGTGCTGAAGTTCTAATCCCGGCAAGAACCTGATATATATATAAAACTTTTTTCTTATTCCCCTGTGGATAGTAATGATAATCCTCAATTTCGGATCCTCTACAAGGGGCCTGGGAGATTGAGGGTTCTACGCAGCATCTAAGCTGTTCCCAATAGTATACTCTTCTGGACAGAGATTTTTGATGTTCCTGGAATTTGCTGAAGCCACTTTTCTAGTTTAGGAGTCACACTTCCAAGTGATTAAATTACCAGTGGGATTACTTTTGCCTTTATTTTCCACATCTTCTCTAGTTTCTTTTTTAACCCTTGGTATTTCTCTAACTTCTTACATTCTTTCTTAGTGATATTCCTTCCTTTTGCTTGGTATTGTTATATCAATTACCAGTGCTGATTTCTTGTTTATTAACACCACATCAGATTGATTGGCCAGTATTTTGTCTGTTTGGTTGGGGAAGTCACACTTCGCCTAATCATTCTCCATGATTTTTTAGGAAATCTCCCATCTAGACTTGGTTCCAAACTACATGCTGAGCAGAAATTCCTGTAGATAATCACAGCTACTTGGTTATGCCTTTCAGTGTATGTATGTTATTCCTGCTTGCATCTTGCATCCTGCTGGACTGTTTCTGAAGTGTCCAGATTCTTTGTAAAACTTTGTCTAATGTGGTACCTCCTTCAATGGATGCTTAATACGGCATATATATTTGAAAAATAATTGAGAAATCTTAGGAGACGTTGTTTCTGGCGAGTTGTCAGTTTTATGCGGATCTTGGCTCAGATCATAATATGATTAGATCCGTGAGTTGCCCGTTTCAGAACCACGATTGGAACGACTACCTAGAACAGAATTCCTTCAACGGCGACTGACTAAGATATAATCAATCTGGTTGGAGTGTCGCTTATCCAGCGAGTTTAACATGACTTGATGTCTCTTCGATATTGAAACATGTATTAGTAAAAAATTCATCCTCTTCAGCAAAGCGAAGAATGCCCTCTCCACTAGTGCTTCGGATCTCGCGCCAGCATCGTAACCTACATTTCAGTCTCTCCCAAATATGACCATGTCATATTTCGGTAAAAAATATTGTTAAAAGTTGAAGTTCGGGATAGAATTTAATATTATCACGACCGATAAAGTTAGAACATAACAAGCACTATACAAGATATAAGCACTGATAACAGAAATATTGTAGAACTTTCCTTTTAAGCCATAGGCCATACGATCGCTTACAGCTTCCACTCCTAGCGGAGTGGTCTTTTTCAGACACGACAATCGCTGCCATTTCACCTCGAATATCCGAAACATCACAATGATAAAGCCAGTACTACTCCCAGACTTAGTAATGGCTTGGCACACCAAATGAGCAAGATGGACCTTCGACAAATAGACGACATCCAGGGCTAACATCTCGCCCTCAAAAAGTTAGTCTCCCTTGATAAGTTTCGAAATGCAGAAAACATCAAGGAAAAAGATTATTTATTCCTTCTTATATTTTCAAAACGAGCAATTACTCCTGGCGAGTGCATTCAATTCACAAGCCTTGGGATCGTTTTACACCCGGATTGTATATTTATCGCATGTACTATCGTGGTGAGAATATCGTGTGCGTCGATAACGCAGGTGCCGTGTCATGAAAATCATACTCTTTCACCATAAACTCACTTAGGAGTAGAGTCGCAGATGGATCTCCAGCAGCCACTCGAATACCATGACAGTTTTATTCATGTCGAAGGTAAAATGGAAAAATTAAAAGAGAAAAGAAAAAAAGTTGAAAAAGAAAAAAAAACTTATTGTTTGCTGTGATTTGTTCTCAGATTTTCTGAGATTTTGCAGCCACTGGTATCATGAATTTTCTTTTCTGCTTCTTTCTATTTCTAAAATTAACAAATATCATAGAAATGAAGTCGAAATGCAGAAAACAGAGAAAAAAGATTATTTATTCCTTCTTATATTTTCAAAGCGAATAATTAAATTCTTATTTTAAAGGAAATTTTAGATATATTTTAGATATTTTTATATTCCAAATTTTATGGGAAATTTTATTTTTATTTCCTTTTTATCAATTATTCATAATTCTCCAACGAGGAGCAAAATTTATTCAACAGTTGGCTTTGAAAGAAATTTTTTTTTTTTATTCTTTTTAAACTCGCTCTGCTAAACTGCCGGATTAGACAAATTTTGTTAACGAATCGCTCAAAGTTCAGATTAAATGTTGGATTATAGATTTGCGCCCACTGGGAATAGAATATCAGCAATGAACCTCATCATTGGCTATCCGAAATTAGAGTAGTAATCCACAGTGTATTATTTTCCTCTTTGAAATGATTAAATTTATTATATCAGGCATTTTTTATTTTCCTTCAAAATTTATAAAACATAATGGAAATAAATTAATGAAACTAAAAATTCACTTAGTTTAGAGGGAATGCTGTTTGAACAGTAAAAATTTTATAGAAATTAATTCAATTTTCAATTTCTATCGAAATAGTGACAACCACAGATTTTATCAGTAAGTTCAAATTATATGCAAATCTAGTGAAGATTAGCAATGATGATAGCAGTAATAACAATGATAACCACGGATTTGAAATGTGCGAGTCCATCTAAAGTTAATGATGAAAATTAATAAATGATAATTATGATAAATGATAATTAAACAATGGTAATTAATAATAAATAATGGTTGGTGATAAACAAGGATTTTATCAGTTTTCAATTTGCTTCAAATCCGATTCTTTATATTTAATTTCAAAGGCATTCGAATCCCGTTGTTGTTTTATTTATTTGCTCATTTCACAGAAATTTGAGAAAGTTAGAATTAGATTTTTAAAAGCGTTTGATGAAAAATTTTGTTCTTCAATTATTTCTATGAATTTTATTCTTTTATTCTAAAATTCTATTTTTTAAATTTTTTTTCAAAATTATCTATTCAACTAGCTTTTCGATGAAAATTCAATGGATTTCATATGCTTTATTCGCAGTGATCGTCGAATAATCTCCATATATTTATTATTTATTCTGAAATCTAAAATTTAGTCGTAGATCTGATAAATTTGACAATAAAAATGTGATTTTATGATAACATTCTTAATTTAGACAGTTTTTCGGATTTGCTTCTCTACTCAACAATATGCAAAAGTATATTCTTCTTATCATTACTACGATCCTACTAGTCAATGAGGTGATTACTTTTCATATTCGCAAAAATGCTTACGCTATAGATAAAAGAGATCTAGATGATCTTCTTTATAATGTCTACAATTATCAACGACGCTTGGATGAATTGGATGGCACATTGAATTTGCAGAAAATGCTTAATGTCTATAAAAAATAATACAATACGAATTTACTCGTGAAAAAACAAAGTGATCATTGATTTTTCATTTATCTAAAAATTGTAATTTAGTTATAAATATGGTTCAAATATAATTCTGTGGAAATCTGTTTCAAGAAATAAATGTTTTCTTAAAAAACGATGGCATACATTGATAATTTCTCAAAAGCCGCTTTTCTCAAGTTATTTCGGCTACAACAAACATTTTAAATAAACTTTCAATTTGATAAACGGTGTTGAAGTATTGAAGTAGACCG